TAGCATGATTTTGACATAGGAATTCCATGTCAAGGAATTTATTCAAGGAATCTACTTGTACAATGATATAAATACAAGAATAGGAAGTCCACTGTTTTTTTATAACAGGAAAAATGAAAGCAACCTAAATGTCCATCTGTATGGAACTAGATAAAGAAATTCTGTTATATTCACAGAATAAAATACTGTGCAATTACAGTATCTTTAAAGAAGTAAGTGATAGGATGAAAAAAAAAATCCTCAAACATGGGTATAGTTGTCTACTATTTGTATGTTTTTAATGCAGAAAGGATAGATATACATATATAGGCTCATACATGCCCAGAATTTCTCTTAAAGAGTTTACAAGAAACTGGTAAGAAGTGTTGTTTGTATTGGAGGTCACAGATGGAAGCGTTATATGTTAATTTATCCTACTTTTTTACTTTTTGCTATATGCAGATATTATTTTAGAAGTCATTAACAGTTCCATGTATTACTGATATTCTTCCCATTGTAGCAACGTGAACATACCAAAGAAAATCTGTAATTGTTTTTGGCATGACAATAATCAAATTCTTTTTATGTTTAAACTTCTCAAAGATCAGTCACCCTGCTGCCCAGGACACCCTTACCACATTCATTTTAATTACCTGTAAGAACATGCATCCTCTATTCTGTCTGCATCTTCTACCCATCCTCAGATCTGGAAATCTGGTCCACCCCTGCTATGGCTCAGATGAAATCCAGGTCTTCCCCTGAGTTTCCCCTTTCTACTGAAGTCCTTTTAGGCAGTGTTGCTTTTTGCTTCACAGTGGATCTGGGGGAAGTAAAGCATGTTTGCTTCTTAATGCTGCTGCTACTGGATCATTCTCTTTGCCTGTTCCCTAAAATTCCCCACCTTTATACCCTCAGTTGCTTTTCTGGTATTTTTCGATGAGTTTTAGTTTTTCGTTCACTGTCACTCCATCTAACTGTACTCCTCAACTTAGTGTGGTTGCCACATAACATGTGTCCTTTTACATCTTGCCTTGGAATTGTCTGCAGCTTGCCAAGATGTGCCTAGAAATGTGCTCCACCAAACCCCAGAGCCCCCAGTCCTAGCCCAGGTCCGGTGAGTGTGCGGAGAGCTTCCTCTTCCTCCAACTTCACCTTGCCCCCTC